GAATGAATCACAGCAGGATAAAGTCTCTGTCCCTCTGGAACTTTTGCCTACTTACTTATTTCTAACCCTTCTACGTTCCTCAAATGTGCTTCCTCAATTGGGTAAGTGAGGTGTGCTTACTGAGGCATTTTGAATTTCAGTGATTTTGTTCAGTTGGGTAGATGAACTGTAAAAAAGAGTCTCTAAGCCATTTTTGTAGTTTCCTGAAAGTCTCAGAGATTAGTCACAGTCTATATTTGTATTTTCCTCTGAGGCAAACTGAGATCCTGCTAGTATCATGTCCAGTGTAGTTACATCAGTGTAATGCCGATAAATTTTTCTGTGTGTCTTGGAGTGCAGGCTTGCTTTGATGGCCTTGTGGCTTAGTATCACTGTTCTGTGTGAAATTCTACTTCAGAAGTGCAAAGATATCTTCTTCAGTACTCAGACAGAAGAGCTCCTGAGTTTTGTGAGGTTTGCAGGAGTTGAGCAGACTTGAACTATTCTTTGCCCTGTCTCTGTGGTGTACTCTGAGCCTGGAGAGCTGGGAAGAGGCAGAGGGGAGTAGATCACATAGTCTTTTAATCAGCTGAAGTCCTCCTTGCGCCAAATAAGTGACCAATGATTTAAATGTATTTTACAGTGCAGTTGTGTTACAGGACAACACAGCCCATTCTGGCATTTTTGAGGAAAATCAACTCTCTCCCAGCCCAAACCAGCAGTGACTAACAAAGCCTGGATAATACTGGAAATCTTAAAATTGTTTAGGTTGAAAATTTACTTATGTTGGAATCTCAACTGGGATTGAAATACTGTTTATTGAAATGCTGATCAGTAAAATCCTGTATAGTATTCCTGAGGGATGGATAATATTGATCTCACAGTTTTCTTGCTAAGTGCAAAGGTTTGATCGAGTGCAACATGACAATTTCTTTATTATGAATGTTGTAAAACTACTCTTGTCATGAGGTATGTGATTCAGTATTGTTTTGTATTATCTTCAGTCGACCAAATTTGGTGCAATTACAAAGATCATTTCCTGTAAAATAGCAGATATCTTAATAATGGACCTGAATTCCCATTAGGATAAAGTCATAAAGCACTAAAGCATTCAGAGTAGAGCAAATGATAAAACTACATCAGGTAGAATAATCTCATTCTCCAGGATATAGAGCAACCACCAACTAATGTGAATAAGAAATTTAGTTCTGTTGTGGAAAGAGCTCATTCTCTGATGAGTTCATTATGCCTTTTCTGCAGATTCTTATGTTGTGCCTGTGTTGCAGTTGGCAGACGTGCTTCAGTAGGTATCACATTGAGTATCCAGATAAAGCCCAGTTTTGGCCCCAAACTTCTCTAGAGATCAGCTAAATTTCAAGGAGAGTTTTTGAGTGACTCCTTGCTGAGTGAGAGAACAGATGCAGAGCTGTTCAGAGGTGTATCACATCTGGTATTCTCCAAAACTCAGGCCAGTTTCAAATTTGCCTTGGAATCACATCCCTTTCAAATATTTCGGTTGTGTTTTGTTGTTGGTGGTGGTGATGGTAGTGGTGGGTTTTGTTTTTGTTTGTTTGTTGATTTTGTTTGTTTGGTTTTGTTTGGGGTTTTGTTTGTTTGTTTGTTTGTTTGTTTGTTTTTAATGTCAGTGAATCCCAGTAACAGCCACAGGCACATCCTTGTAGGCAGACTAGTGCAAGTACTGAAGCAATGATTTAGTTTCAGGAACGGCCACTAGACCCATGCAATTGTCTACAGCATTTTGTGAGACTTAGTGCATGAGATATTTAATGGCTCCATTTTTGACTGCCTGGACAGTCTTTGCTTTCTTAAAATGGAGGGAGGCAGAAATGAGATGATTGTAACAGCAGAACTGGGAGATAGACAAGGTTAGTTTCTGTCTATTTTAAAAAGCAAAAAAAAAAAAAAGTGAATAATTGCTAGTAACAAGAATTATTTTAATAGTGCAAACATATGTTGGTTACTCATAACCAAACTGTAGTTATAAATAAGAGTTATAGTGAATGCCAAAAGAAATCTAAGGCTCAAGAAGGAAGATAATTTTTGAAACAGTAAGGTGGAAAGGAAAATTTGATACTCACAATTACTGCACCATTTGCAAAAATGTGCTTTCTGTGAATTTATTTTTGTTTTATTATTAAATTGATAATGTTTGAATAGAAGTAGTCTTTTCTATTTTAAAACTCTGTCTTAATCTGCCTGGTTGCAATAGAGCTGCTCATTTTTACAAGAGTAGAACAAAACCTGTTGAAGAGGAAGAAAGCTTCCTTCTTTGGGTTGGGTTTTACTATTGTAAGATTTGCTTTCCATGTGTGAGTTGTCTTTTATCAGCCCAGCTCCTGAGTTGTGCCACAAACAATCCCAAGTAGCTGTTTTCAGAACATGATGTGGTTTAAGCACTCTTTGACCTGCTTTTAGAGGCAAATTAATTACTTGAAGTGGATTGCTAGCCCGAATCTAAATAGTCATATAATTTAAGGTTATAGTTTATACGTTGCTGATAATCACAAAGCATAACTGGAAAGTGATTATTAGTAATTTGTTATTTACACTGCAGAGTTTTAACATGTTGTTTGAAAAAGGGGAAAAAATAAGCTGGTGATGCAATAGTTGGACTATATAACAAGAGTCCTGAGGGGGGAGCAAATATATGAATGCCCAAGGAAGAGTTACTGACTGCCAATACTGAAATCAGACCCAAAACCTTTGAATGTTGGTATTTTCTTCAGGTGGCATAACTTCTTTCCTAAGTGAATGATTTCTGTGTTGCAACCTATTTGTGTTTCAACGATGATCAGATAAGAAAAGACAAAAAATTATGTGATGTATAAACAAGTCTTGTTATGTGTAATGGATGCTTGTAGGCTTAGTTAAGGGCATGATTTATCTTCTTGTTCTGAAAGTAAGGAAGAGTTATGTTGCTCACTTCAAAGTGCCTTGAAAGAAACTCTTTTGACAGCAAATCCGTTCTTCCAGGCCTGTAAACTGTGAGCCTGGAGCCCTCTGGTGTTACTGCCTGTGTAACATACATTAACCATCTACACCAGCACAATTCAGGGTGACCTGTGTCAATAAAGAGCTACCAAGCCAATCACTTTCTCCCACCTAATCATTTATTGACTCTATTATTTATCTATGGTTTAAAAAAAACTCAGTAATTTAGTTTTGAGAAAGATAACTGATCTCATCCAGTTTTTAGAAATGTTTACTTCGGAGCTATTACCCAGTCTGTGTCAGAAACAGCTCAGAGCAAAGACAGGTCCTGTACAAAGGAAAATTTAGGAAGCCTGTAAGGCTGTTCTACTACATCCATTGCAGCATTCTGGTTTTCATTTACTCCATGTCTTGTTTCAAGGAGTCTCTGCAAAATCTTTCATCTGGTCTTTCATGCCCAAAGCATGTTGTTCCCTGTCCTTCTCTTGAATTGAGGGTTCCCATTCGCTCTTTCCTAGCACTGGGACTGCATCTGTGACAGAGATTCTTCCTTCTCCAAGGCAGGGTCTCCAGTACTTCCTCAGCCACAGGTTCTGCATGCCTTAATTATTTGCCTTGGCTTATGTGTCCCTTGCTTCCTGTCCCCCCCTGCCAGGACCAAAGCCTGTCTGTTCTTTTGCTTCTCTTTCTGTTTTGTTTTGTTGTTTTGTGTTTGTTTTTTTGTTTGTTTTGTTTTGTTTTCCTCATGCCACCAAACTCTGGGCTGGTTTTGACCTCTGCTGTCCCTGTCATTATCACCTCTTGGTCTTCCCATGTGCCACGTCTCCCACTTTCTTCCTTCTCACTGTATTGGTTTTTGCTCTTTCAGTGAGTTGTATGAAGCGTCTGGTTGCACAGACTTACTACACACAGACATTTCCAGGGAAGAGGATAGCTTCTGGGATGCTGAGATACAGGCTTTGCCTGGAAAAACAACTAATGATCTTGAAGCAATATGCAGGAAATCTGTTACTTCAGTAGGTTAACTGTGGACAAGGAGCTGTTGTGGACCACTGAAGTGCATAATAATTGATTTTATATTATAGGCAATCTCTCTTCCCTTCTGTAGAAGGAGTAGGAGAATAATGATTTCCTAGCTTGCCTGGTAAGGTCAGAGAATCTGGCACGTGTTGAACTGGTCACGAATTCAGTAGTTGTGCTGCATTGGGAAATTTAGTGGGTTAGGTGGAAAGGAGGGAAGAGAGTAGGGCGCCACCTGGAGCCTCACTGGGAAGCAAAAAACCCCAAGGACTGGAAAAAACAGAAATCGAGGTAACAGTTTGCCAACAGGAAGCTGGGAGGGAGGTAGGGGTTTTTGCCAGCAGGAAGTAGGATGTTGCTAGCAATTCTCACGGAAAACTCCGTGCTCACCTCTGAGTGGGGAAATATATGGGTGGTGGTTGTTCTGTGAAAGAAAAGCAGGTGTGAAAGCAGCCTAAGCTGCTGCAGGGCACCAACAGCAAGCCTGTGTTGTTACCCTGTTACTCCCTCTACTGAGCTGTCCCAATTCTAAGGTAGGAGAAAGGTTATCACCTTTAGTTTTTTACTGTTCCCCTTAGCAATCCTAGAACACTTATTCATAAGCTGTGTAAAAAATGTTGTTTGCTAGTATACAATCTGCAGTCAGATCTGTGATGGCTGGTTCAAAGTATAGTGTAACTAAAGCTGCAAACCTGTAGATTTACAGCAGCACAATTTCAGGTCTGAGATTTACATATTTTGCAGTGGGCTCTAAAATATGAGACTAACTGGTTTGAAATCCTTTGGATAGTTTCTGTCAGTCAAGTAAAGAACGTTTGGAGCCACAAAATATGTACGGACTCAGAGATGTGCTTGCTTACTGAAAGTTCACTAATTCATAGCATCTGAAGCAAAGTGCTTAGAACACTAAGTATTTGCCCCCTCTAGAGGGGATTCGGTACCACAGCTTAGATTGACTTTTGACCTGTAGCTATGCTTTAGGGGGCCAGCAACTCTCATGTGAGGGATTCAGTGAAGAGTCAAAGCAGATGTGCTGTAAAATGCTCAAAATTTATTAATAATCATTGCTTTTTTCCCCCCCATAAAGAACAAAAATAAAATATTCAAAAACAAAATAAAAGAAGAAAATATACCATACCCAGACAACATGACTGAGACTAAGAAATGGGATAACATTATTTCTGAAAGAAATGACCCAATAAATCAATTTAAAAAAATAATAAATAGCAATAGTTCAACTTTTACAAGCTTCCTAAGAATTTACAATTATTATTATTATTATTATTTTTATTATTATTATTATTATTATTAAACTTCTGTTTTAAAAAAAAATCCTTCATATGCCCCTGTTGGCAAATATATATATATACTTCTTCTGTAAACAGTTAACCACAAACAAAACAAAAAAATCCATATTTTCATACAGTTACTATGCTGATGGTATTATGTAAACAAAAAGTAGTGTGCAGCAGCTTCTCATATTAGGATTTTTCCTTTTTCTCACAAAAAAATATATAGGGAAATATGTCCATCATAAATTGTCCAAAATATGGACATTTACAGTTTTGAAAAAAGTATGGCTTTCTGCAGTCTAAGTTCTCCTCAATGCAAAAGGAAACATATAGTAGTAAAGAGGTACAGTTTTCCTTGTTTTTTGTTTGTTTTCTGGATTTATCTTTTGATTTGTCTCAGTGAACTGGAATGAAAATGTTATTAAAAATCCGTCTCTCAATCTTATGTTACAGCACTTCTCAGAAGACAAATGAACAGAAAATGACAAGATGACCTTATGCTGTACTTCTCAAGGAGGTAAGAGACATGAAAGCAAAAATGGGAGATATATTGATAATGAAAACCGAAATTTATGTGGACAAGACATTGGGCTTTATGCAGAAAGTATCATCTGTTCATCCAAAATTTTAGCTGCTCTTGACACTTTCGTATTTTTTCAAAGTTTTTTTATTTTAGTCTTATGTCCAGCCCTTGTTTGGTGACTTCTCTGCAGTTCTAATTTTTGACATTAGCCTGTTCCTGAGAGGTCTTTATCTGGCTTGTCTGCTGTTGGCTGCCGTCTTGGGGAATGCACTGAGCAGTCACACAGCTGCATTTCTCCACATAGGTGTATGAGTGATCCAGGTAGGTTCCGTCACTGCATGTCAGAGTCACCTTTCTTTGGCTGGTCTTGATTTCCTGACAACACGAGCATTTGTGTTCCATTGTGTTTGTCTTTTGAGAATATCTGATTGAAAGAACAATCAAAGAGAGAGATTCAGAATTTATGTGAGAAATACCACTGCCCCTCCCACCCATTACAAAACATAACCAAAAGTTGTTTACTTGCACATGGGACTATTGCTCAATATTACCATTCTTACAGTATTGTAGTGAAATATAGGTGAGTTGTTCCTAATTGTAAAAATTGATGGATCTAACTCTTCATTAAGGCACGGAAAAAAATAAAGGTGTTAATCCAGATCACATAGTGAGCCAGTTCAGTGAGAGGAAAACAAGAAACAAATAACTTTGCTTTTACATGGGCAAAATCTAAACTGATACTGAACGATAAACATGGGGAATCTTGAGGTAATTTAATACAACATCATGTCTATTAAAAATTCTGGTTAATTATCACAATGCAAACAGTTGATGACTGGATGGATGTTGGACACATCAGAAAATCATTTGCAATTCGCTTTATGTAAATGATGTAAAGAGTAGAAGACAAGAGACCACAATTATCTTTTATACCACTCACCGTGAGTAAGCATCACAGCTGCCTTCACAGTATGTCATCTCAACAGGTGTAGGAGATACACATCCGTTATATTTGATGACAGCTGTAGTATTGTGCTTCATACAAACTGAAGTCATCACAAAGCAAAAGAAAATAGGTTAAGATGTATGTGCATATAAATAGATATCTGTGTATGACAGACAGTTGGTAATCAAAAACTAAGATGGATGGAGTTGAAATGGGAAATTAAGTCACAGTACATTTTTTTTAATAATTGCTAAAGGGCCAAATGAAGACTCTTGCTGTTTGTGTTATCACTTGGAATTTTCCCCTTTTTCTTATGCAACTTCGGTGCAGAACGCAGAAATAAAGAGCATTACAATGGCAACTGTTCAATGCACACCCACCTCCCAAGGCTGGCTTCCCTTTCTTCCTTAAAGAGGATGTATTTTTGGAAATTGGGGAGTATTCATAGTCCTCGCCCTCTCACAAAAAAAGCTAACATTTAACAGTACAGGATGGGAAAGTTCACCACGTCTTTGTTTCCCAAGGCACTAAAAATGCATGGTGGAGATGTTCTGTTCCTTTCTTTTTCCACCTGTTTCCTTTCTCACCCCAGTGTGAAGCAGTGATCCCAAACTTGGTCTATACAAGATGGGCTAATACACCTAATAAGGCAGACATTATCATTACTTGTTCTTAACAAAATTATCATTACTTACGTTTCGGTATTCTTCGGCACTCTACACAGCAACCGTCGTCAGATAACTTGATGTCATTCTTTAGTGGGAAAACATATAAAGATAACTCAGGTTTCATATCTGTGTACTGAAGCAGACTTTCCCAGCTTCCTAAGTTTCTCTGGCACCAGAGGGTTTTTTTTTTTGTATTGACATGGAATCTAATTTCAAGCAAGGCTAAGTATTAAAGGCACATAACTGCTAAAATATTATTAAGTGTTCTTTGAAAGCTGAAACAGAGGAGGACCGGAACTGCTTTGTTGTCATCCAAGTTCGGTAGTAAAATTTCAGCTTATAGCAAATGTAGGTCAACATATTGAGTGACCAAAGCCAGTACAGGTGAAGGATTATGTCAGACAAGGTAACACAATGAATGAAATAACTGACTTGCCAGAGGTGTGGGGCTGGTTCTAATCTACCCTGAGTATTAATTTGAATGAACTAGCTTATTTTTCTTTCACCTTTCCTTTCAATTAGTGAATTCTAAAAAAAAAAAACCAAAACCTCAAATAATTTATAATCTTAAATAATTTAGGAATAAACCTGCAAGTATTTTTAAAAAAATCAATATGATTTTGATATATCACCATTTTAATTTTGAGTTGGTTTTCTGAAATAAAATTTCATGGGGTTCAGATTCAGAGAGGACAAAAAGAGAGCTATTTCCTATATGATGCTTCTGCTAGGTATTTTCCTTGGAGATCATGATTCTTTTATCACTGGCATTAGCCACTGCAGTCTTTTCAAATATGAGAACTGGTAGAACAGTACTTACTGGATCACACTCATCAGGGTTAAAGGCAGGGCAGCTTGTCTGTCTGACGACTTGAATGAACTGGTCAGCATGTTTTTCACATGTGTAAACTGTACAGTTATCACCAGGTGGGTTCCAGTATTCTCCTTCCTGAAAGGAGTCAAAATTAAAGTGAATAAAAATCTTCTTAAATAAAAATGAAAAAACCCACCCAAACCCCAATGTCTTATCATCCCTGCGTACAGCAGTTTGATTATTCTAAACAATTTCCTTGAATTTCAGCTCATAGTTATTTGCCATATTATCATACCGCACAAATGTTTTTCATTAACCAAGTGAAGAGGATCTATTTTTATCTCGATATAGATGAACTTCTTGTGTGAATAGGGTAAGTATGTGGACTCATTTGGAAGGAGTAATTTGTGTTTCAAGGGTTTCGTCATCAGAATTTATGGGTATGTCCATTCAGATACATGGAAGAATTTCTAATGGCTTCCCTGACTCATCCTGTCATAAAACTCTCGGTTAATTTAAGATAGGCTGTTTGGAGCTGAAAACCGCCTCCACAGATAAAATTATTTTTTGAGCAAAATGGTTGCTCCATTTTCAGAGCTGAAGGCACATAAGGGCCCATTGCTTTCACCTGTGTATTTTTCTATGTTGATTTCTGAAAGCCATTGTTCAGTATCAAAGTTGCTTCCAGAAGTCTTAGAACTTGGAGTTTCATGGCATAGGGGACTGTTTAAACTGTGTGGAGGCAGTCCACCCCCTGCCTGAATAAGAATGTGTCTAACATGAGAAAAGATGCAGGAAATAAATGGGACAAATACAAGGAGCGGAAAGAATGAAGAGACTAGCAGAGTTCCCCAAGAGTGAATGAAACCAGTGATAATTACATAGACCACATGAGTAATGTTGTCTCCCACAGTCACCACGCAAGCCTCTGCCTTGCACGTGCCGCAGCACTGTCCTGGTTCCTCTGTATACTTATAACCCTGTTTTGAAAGAAATAGAAAGGGAATGACATTGAATCAGGTCACTGACCTTAACTAGTGGTTATTAGAGCTGAGTGGGGAAGGAATTTCTAATGGCAAAATAGCACTCACCAGTGGGCAGTATGTGTCACAGATAACAGGCTCACACTTGACAGTAGCACGGTGAGGCCTTAAGTAAGAGGATTCAGAGCAGGTGCATTCTTCACAGGGGCCTGATGGAATGAAAGCTCCAGGCTAGGGGGAGTCAGAAAAAAAGAAGTCATTATTAGTTAGTAAACGCAAGTTGCTCTGTGCATGTAAGTCACAGACAATACAAAAGATGTATAGACTAAGCTATCCATAAATACAGTTTTGGTTGTTTTATTTAAAAATGGTTTCTGGTTTGGTAATAACAATTTTGGAATTAAATTCTGCTTTTGCAGAAAGGAGAGCAGAAAATGCTTTTGCTTTTATAGAGGGTGTTGATGTGCTAACCTTGACTAAATAATGAATAATATTATATAATTATATCTCAGGCCTTTCTGCAAAATATGGACCATGATAGGGGTCTCAAAACCATTGCATTGTGAGCAATGTGAAGGTGTATTTTTATAGTGATTTACTCTGTGTACTTACCGCATAGTAAGTTTCATTGACTACACAGCCATGTCCTGTAAAGAAGGAAGAAAGATGGTGTCTCAGAAGTGTAAGTTTTAAGAGGCAGAAGTGTGTGAAAAGACTCCTGCTTTGTAGGCCTGTCGTGGCAACCTTAAGACACTCATTTGCAATAAGGCTCAATATGATAATACAGATAATAAGGTTTTTGTATTCACAAACTTAGAAAGATATAACAGTAAATAACACAGGAAGGTGCACAGTACTTACTGCATTCAAAGGTAGGACAGCATTTTCCAGGCTGCATTATTGTGATTATTTCTTGTCCCTCTAAGCACTGGGGTGTGACCTCAGGGCAGAGGCTGGTGTTGCAGTCTGTTTCATGGAAGAGAATATAGAAAATAATGAACTCAGAATTTTTAAATGGAAGCAGTTTTGTTTGACATGAACTTCAGAAGTTTTCCAGTGGGGCAAATATGTTGTTGTTTTCGTAAGACAGTTTAATGACTATTTCAGTCTACATGCCTAGGTGTTTTCAGAGTCAATGGACTTTTCCATAACACTTGTAAAATACAACATTGCCTGAGAACAACAGAGGGGTGATTGCTGGAAAGAGAAAATTCCAAAAAGAAATTTGTACCAGTTGGGAAATCTGATTACGGTCAGTGGTTCAGGAACTTTCTTGAGCAATTTTTAAATGTTCAAGACTACGTTTTTTTAAAGTTAAGATAACTTTCTAATACTGGTTTTTGAAACAGAAAATGCTTTGAATAGTTTTTGAATATTGTTTCGGATGATAGCAGCATTAAAGTTTTTCAATGTTAAATTATAGAAATTTTCGGTTACTTCCGTATCTAACTATATAAAATCTTTTAATCTTTAAATTTGGTATCTTCAGGCATTTAGTATATGCTCTGCAAGAAGGCCCTAAAAAGTGGGATGAGGGAGAAAAGCATTATTACATTCATACTTGCTGTAGTTTCCCAAAATGAATATAGTCTATTCCCCATGATAAGGAATTAAGACTACTTACAGCACTCAGTCCTAGTACAGCATGGATCTTCTGGTATCTGTATCTGAACAGGCATGTAACCTGGCTCATCACAAAAGACTTGCTGTGTCAGGGAACATTTGTGTTTTGTACAGTGCACCTTAAGAGTATTTTTGTCACAGATACATTCCTGGCAATCTTTTGTCCATTTTTCTCCTGGCTATATAAAAATGAAAAGTACACACAAAAAGAAGAAAAAATTAAGTAAGTTCAAACCAAAATAATTCTATTTGCTTCTAATTGACATATTCATGGATATAGTGATACCTGATTACATCAGCCTTTACATATTTTTAGATTTTATAAGAGACCCTCAAATTGAAGCTTCTTAGGGGAAGATACTGGAGGCCACTCAAGGTTCTGAGTGTGTTTGCAAAGCTATGACTTTTTATTTGTTCGTGATGTCAGCATGAGTGATACAGGATTTCTAAAGAAGTGACTGAGCTTTGCATGCATTTTTGAATATGAATTGATCGTATGACAAACTCATTTGCACATTAGGTTGCAGATGTGTGTGCAGCTGAGGAACTAAGAATGCAGACTGTGAACATTATCAGCAACAGGTAAAATTTGTTACCCATCTCTCCCTTCATTTATAGTAACTTTAGCAAGACAAACTTCTGTAAATAAAAGAAACTGTATGTGAGGTTATTGAAAGAATACTTCATCACTTACTGTTACATTTCTGAGGGCTGCTCTAGCACTGATTATTTTTAAGACTAAAAGGGAACAAACATTTGAAAAGACAAAGTCTTTTCCAACCTAAGCAAAACTTTGTTTTAGTGGAACACTAAATATTGTCTTGTTTCACTTGTCTGTGCACTTTAAGCCACACTGATTGTGATACTCACCCATCTGAGTACTCCATTTGGTTCCCTGCAAGCTGGAAAGAAAAAGAAAAAAACCCAGATAATGAAATGAATTGAGATTCACACCACTGAAAATTGATATAAAAGAGTATATATGTGCAGTTGCAAATATAAATACTGTGAAGATAAAGCTAACAAGAAAAGAATATGCAGACTAGTTCTTCTGAAATGTAGAGTTCTAGCATCTTGGTAGATCTCACATAAGGAAGGATGATGAGAAAAAGATAATATTATTCTTCAGTTTTTAGATGGAGGGACTAAAGGAGCTTAAAGAGGCTGATTTGCTGATGATCTGACCATGTAGAAGACAGTAGTAATACTCAAGTCTCATGACTAACAAGCCCGATCTCTATTTATTCCCCAAACTAGTTACAGGTTACTTACAACATTCAGGGACACAGATGTTGCTCTCTGCACGCAGTAGTGTTGTTCCTTCAGGACAGAAACAGCCTTCAGTTATTCCATAGCCAGGATGCTCAACAGAGCTAGAACGAGAGGAATGTATGTATTTGAATACAACATTTTTGCAGTGAAGCAGGAGAGAACAGCATATGCAGAAGGTTGTCATGTCAGATGTAAGAGAGACAAAAAATTTAGACTTTCTGATGTGCAACAAGAAGCACATATTGATATGGCTGATTAATATTTATAAATCTTGAATAAATTATCTGAATTTGCAACACATTTTGTTATGAAATAACTTAAATTTCTAAGGAAAGTAGATAGGTAGTAATAGGAAAAAAGAGAAAAATATAAGCAGTTGTTTAAGGATTAGAATTTTTTGTCTTTCCATACCTTTGATCGCAGGTATCAGGATTAATGGGCCCACATGGCTTGTATACCAAGC